AATATAATATTATAGCATGTTTGAAGCAGCATATGTTTTTAACACAAATCATGAATCGTGAAGAATAAACTATAAAGAGCATGACTTTTCAAATCTTCTACGAGTCATAAAAATGATATTGAGCATGTCAACTGAAAAACTAAAAAATGAAAGAGAGAGAATAAATACTCCGTCATAAATGGAAGAATAACAAAATACCATATCCAATCTTTTCCAATTTCGTGGCAGCAAAGGTAAAAGCTTTTGATATGTGAAATAAAGCTCGTCCCTACAAGAAAAAGATCAAAGCAAAGTGAGTGTGAAGGTTAAGAACCCTAACAATAACAAAGTCTCAATGACTAACAGAAATGTGTGCAGAACACTTCACAGTTAACAAGATCATTAGAAAGGACACTTTCATTGGCAACTTTGACTTGATTGCAAAGAGTGGATCAAGTTCTATGATGATAACAGACAAATTCTACGCAACAGAAGAAACAGAATCTCTATGATGATGTGAAACTGCAAATCTGGTTACCACGGAGTGTGCGCTGGAGTTAGGGGACCGAATAGCTTTTCAAGGATCAGTACAAAAAAAACAGCTAGTGGCATATGATAGAGACCTAGAATAAGTGAATCCCCCAATGCTCCCAAAGTAAAAGAGTGTTTGTGACTTTGGGTTTCCAAAAGTGATACACTTCTAATTAAGAAAATGAGTAATCATGAGTTCATGACTAAAACTTGGATCATTTAGCTATGACAAAAATGTTTATCTTTTGAAAGGGAAAATAAGTTCAAAGAAGCTAATGCTTACGGAAGGTCCAAGGAAAAGGAGTTGGTTCATTAAGGCCTAATGTTTGCAGACTGTAGTATTACCTTATATATTTCCATAAGAGGATATTTATGTAGATAAGAATAGATGAACTATGAGTAATATAGAAGACTATGACTAAAGTTCTAAAATATATGGAGTAATTGGTTTACTTAAAGATACTAGTAAAATTTATTAAATTTGGTATGGGTAAGAACAAGGGTTAATGCCAAAATACCCATATACACACTAAATGACCTAAAACTAAACACAACCATTGGCTTCTGCTCACTTTTACCGCCTCCCAGCCACATTGACCATCACTAATTCACTATGGGCGATATTGGTCACCCCCGAAAGCGTCACACCATCTGACCCACTGCTCAACCACCACCACAATGCTGCAGCTCAATGGTCCCTGATTCTGAATCACTGCCCATGAATCCATTACCGCTTTCACTGTCTACCACTGTTTCACTGTCAAGCCCCCAAGTTCACTTCCCACCATCTCCCCCATTACCACTACACAATGATTGCATCAAAATCTTTCAAAAGACACTGTCCTCACCACACAATCAGAAAAACGTCCATGTCACTGTTCATCAACGCACAAGAGTGGAAAAATAAAATTCATTGTCCTTATGTGCAGTGAGGGAAAAAAATTGAAGGCATCACGAAGAATATCTGCGACCATGGACTTATTATCCATTTTCACAACAAATCAATGTCAAAAAAATATAATCTGTCTCTCCCTTCTTGGTGTTCCTTGCTAAACGAGACGAGGATGGCCGAAGATGTAAAAACCAAGAGTCCAAGACGGAGCCATGATAGCATGGAAATGACAATGACAATCACATACGAAAGTTACTGGTGGGCATAAATTGTGGAAAGTAAAATGGTATGAGAGAAGTCCCGAAGTGAAGAATAAAGGGTCGGGAAGAAATTGTCAAGTGAAAGGAACATGAATGTAGTAGTTAGAGATGCAGGAATATGGTATTGTATGGAGAGTAGGTAGCTGATTATTATTCTAGTAATTTAATAAGATCTCGGGTGTACTAGTCCATAAAAAGCTTAAGTATTGCTCGTCTTTTTCTATGACCAAATTACAGCAAGTGAAGGAAAGAAAACATTTAGGCAGTAGATGGGGAAAGATCCCAAGTTTTACTCAAAAGTCAAAACTATTTCGATAACTATTATATCACTTCTGCAGGTATATGGCTTGAAGCCTTGAACCCATGACTTCAAGGTTGCAATGAAAATAAACAGCATATGCAAGCATTATTAAGCTCACATCAAACAGAACTTGGAAGGAAGTAACTACATCCATGAGATAACAGATTTAGAAACCAATATGCTTCATTTTCATACCAAAAAAAAAACTTTTTACTATATTCTCTACACCAGCTAGATCAGACAAAATGACTGAGGAGATACTAACCAGTCTAGCTGCAAAGACATTGCAGAGCTGGGGAGCTTGGTAAATTGAACCATCCAAGACATAATAAGTTAACATTGGTGTGACTTTCTCAGGACTATCTCTCTTTTGTTTACGAATGACAAAGTGATGGGGCTCCATAACTTCACTAAGTGTGTATTCAATTCCAGTCATTTTTCTGCATTTAGAATCACACAGCTGACATATGCGTTTAAAGCTTAAACCCCAAAATGAAAAGGGAGACTCATTATCCTTGACAATTTTGAACACCATGTTGCAATACAGCTATACAAATCCCACCCCCACAAAAAAAGAAGAAATTTGCAGTCCTCATCATGACAAAATGAACTTGTGAGCCTCAATAGTGTGATAATCCAACTCAGAAGCACTAACTTCTACTGTAACACACAGTTTTCTCTCAATACTCAGAGAAAACAATTCAGAACTTAGGTGCAGAATGAATGTGTAGGCAGCGGAGAAAAAAGAGAGCTTACGACAGATGAGAAACATCGAGGGGGTGAATAGAGCGCATTCGGAGCTGTTCATTATTGCAGGTCCAGTCATAGAAAGGAGAAAGAGCGAAGTAATCGAACACCAAGTTCCTATCGAGAGGGTAAGAGTTGAGCCACAGCTGATCCCTGAAACATAGCCCGGTCATGTCCGACCCCGGCGGTGCCGGCACGCTTCCATCGAAATTTGGATTCGCTGTCGCCGGGTTGGGCGGGACCATCGGCGTATTAGCCATTGCAGATGCGTGTATGTCTGAACCGAGAGCTTGTAAGTTGGATTAAGGGGAGAGACCGGCGGCGGTTGTGGATTGCCTCCCTATTCCAGTAGGAATTGTTTTTAATTGGATCTGCGCCGCCGCTGGGGTCTCATCTTAAGGCGGTGGCTGGGTCTTCTTCTCCTAAACCGCGACAACGGGGTTTGGCTGGGAAAAAGAGTGGCTTTGGAGTGCGAAACAGAGTTGGTGGTATACGGTAGTTAGTACTCATTAGTAGTACTCATTCTCGTACTAGTATAAACATTCATTTCGAAATACGTAGTACTCATTCTGGCCAAGGTAGTACTCATTTTAAAATAAAGAATTACTCATTTTTACATATTTATCTAATATAATTATAATAAATAGCGTAGTGTTCATTCTTAAAAAAAAGAATGCTCATTTTCAAATAAGGAAATGTTCATTCTGAAATAAAGTATTGTTCAATTTTTTCACAATTAAAAAGTTTAGTACTATCATCAATTTTTTCCTTTATTCGATTTGTTCCTACTCATTTATACTCTCTGAGCATGAATAATTTAAAACTCAGGTTTATTCAGGGGCGGACCCACGTTGGGTCACACGGGGTCAAGCGACCCCACGGAAATTTTAAATTTTTTTAGTATATATATATATATAATTTTTTTAGTGTATACCTAGATTTAGTATATATTTTACAAAACGCTAGAAAGTACAACTGGTCTGCGCTGAAGGAGTGGAAAGCTGCTCCGTGTTGACCATCTGGTCGGCGGTCTTTGGATCGAAACCAGGTGAAGGACGAGAATACATACTTTTTGCACGGTGTAAGTGAAGGATGGATATATCTAAATTTGTAAAATTTACAAAAATGCCATGTTGTACCTAAAGGAAGGTACAGCTGGATGTACCATATAATTTGCCGCGAAACATGTAGCACCACATTTGTACAGCTGGATGTACCATATAAATTTTGAAATCTGAAACAAATTTATTTAATGAAATTTAAAATAATGATTTAATTAATGATAAGCGGGAATGACTGGAAACAAGAGTTATTAGCAATGACAATGGTAGATTGGTAGCAGATGATTGAGAATGACCAATGATTGAGCGACCGAAGATTCGTTGAACTATGTTCAACTCATTTAGTTCAACGAAATGTTCTTTACGTCTTGTATACCAATGGGTGATGAATCCACCGGAGATATCAAGCGTGTATTTTGATATCTCCCAAATTCGAGAGATAATAAATCCTTCAATTTAAAGAATCTATTATAGCTGGAGATATCAAATTCGATATCTTTTTTTACTTCATCAAACACCCAAAAAAAATTTTAATATCTGGAGATATCAAAACTCATATCTTGCATTACATTGCTCAAACTTCTACAATTTGTCATCCCAAAAGTCAAATCATGAAAATTTTAACAAGACAACGGAAGTAATATAAGACTAAATATCTCTACGTACAGCTTTGTGGTAATTTAACATTGTATATGAAATATTAATATAAGACAATAAGTATCGCTACAACCTTGTGACAATTTAATATTGTATAATGATATTTTATTGTTTTTCTTATGCTTCGTATAATGACATTATTGACCTTACAACTCTAATTTTAGAAAAAAAATGAAATTTTAATTTTAATGTTCTCTCCATATTTTACTTTGAGTTGTTTTATCCTTAACTTGAACCATATTGCTAAAAAGTTAACAAAGATAACCAATAACAACACCTTTAACATTGTTACAAGGTAAATTGTGTGTTGTCTCTACTCATTTAGAGTGTGGCATCAATGTGATCAGCCTCTACTCTCTATAGCTATGAGAGCTAGGCTATTCGACAAAAAAATTAAGCAACCTTTAAAAAAGGGGAAGATCTTAATTTTAAAAGATCTGACCAAAAGATAAAACACAAATAAAACACAGTATTCAGATTCAAAATACCTGGAAAAAAAAAGAGTAGCCAGCACAAACAAAAAACACAGTATTCGGATTCAAAATACCTTAAAAAAGAGTAGTAGCAAAACACAAAAGGAGATTAATTAATTAATTAGATAAGATCAGAAACTAATTAAGAGCACCCTTCTTGATGAGATCTTTGTGCAAGAGCAAAAGAGCCTTAAACTGCTGCTGCCTCCACATAGCAGAAGTTGCATCTTCACCATCATCAAAATCATCAACCAAAGCCAGCACTTTCCCAAAGTACTCTTCAAATGCGCGCTCGTCTTTGAACCCAGCACAAAGCATCTCCTTCACCACACTAAAACCCGAATCTTCGTTCTTCGAACGAAACGTGCCCTTGTCCTCAACAGCACCAACCTCAAAAACACATTCTATGGGAACGATTTCGTTTCCCTTCACCCCATTATAATCATCGTCATCCACACAATCACCATCGACTGCAACTTGTTCATCATCAGGCACCACGGTAGTATTGTTTGAATCATTATGAGCATCATCCTGTGGAATCTCAAGAGAAGATTCGGCAACCTTGGGGATCATCTGATTCATCTCTCCTGAAAGTATATATATGCCGAAGCAAAAAAATGGGCATTTAGTTTTGGGACGAAAGGAGTAAAAATAATGTAAAATACTCCATCCGTTTCTCAAAACGGTTCCTCTTTTGACTTTGTGGAAAAATAAGGAAGTGTTAAATTCTAGTTGACTTTCCAATTTTGCCCTTGATGTGATGGATAAAAGTAAGATGTGATAGTTTAGTTGTTAGTGAAAAAGTATTATGTGATAGGTAGGGTATGAAAAAGTAGGGGTAAAAATGGTTTTTTAATAGGAAAGGGAAGTGTTTTAAGAAAAACAAAAAAATGAAAGAGGAAGGGTTTTAAAAAATGGAGGGAGTACAACATCCTATCAAAGGAATCACTAATCAATTTATATACAATGGGTTTGGTGTGATACTCATGCTAGTATTTATTTAAATATCACTATTAATAATCAACCAAAAAATAAAAATATTTTGATTTGATTAAATATAGCAACAAGTTATTTCTCTAAAAAAATTTTATGTTTGGATTTAATTGTAGAATTATATTGATAAGAAATTTAACAATTATTATGGTTATTAGTATAATAAAAAATAAGAATCTCTCCCTCAATTTAGTAGTAAGAAGCACACTCCCAAAAAGTTCACATATCAATGGAGGTGGAGGTGTTATTAGCTCTTTGGGAATGAGGGAATATAACATATAGGGTGAAATATATTGCAAAATAGAGTTCAAAAAGAAAGAGGATATGACTCTATTCGTTTTTATTAGATCTTTCATTTTTTTTCCACTTTCCCTAGACCAAAACACTCCTATATTCTATTAAAAATCCTTTTACATCTATTTTTTTCGTAACTTACCCATTACTATCATACTTTTACTCATCACATTTAGAACAAAATTGGAAACATAACTACAATTTTACACTCCTTATTTCATCTGCTAATTAGTCTAAATAAATCCATTTTTAAAAACAAAGGGAGTGAGTATTAAATTACCATGATATTCTTTAAGAGGGCATTCATCTTTGAACACACCAAGCGTCGCCTTCTTCACATCAAACGACGCCGCATTATCCTCCTCCGCCTCAACCGCAGCGGCAGCCACCACAGACGAAACGCCTCCTTCGTTGTCCCCCTTTTGAGCTCCAGCGGTTTGGCTTCCCTTTGCGCCATTATTGTTATTAGTACTATCATCTTCCACCACACTGCCGCCACCAGAAGCAGCCCCAACAACAACGTTGTCACGCTCCACCATGAGCACATGTTGATCTTCTTTCATCTCTTTGACAAACTCAACAACATCCTTAGATCCATGTTCCATAACCTTGGGGATCACCTCTGTACAAATTAATAATGCACCAATCAAAGTGTCAAACACATTCCATTATATCACATTGAAAACAAATTACTCTCTCCATCACTAAAAACATTTCTCTTTTCTTTTTTTATCTGTCCCAATATATATATATATATATATATATATATATATATATATATATATATATATATATATATATATATATATATATATATATATATATATATATATATATATACACCCATCGGCCATCACAAATTACTCTCTTCGTCCCAAATTTTACATTTTACCCATCACATCAAATGACATTTTTGGAAATTCAATACCAAAACATATACACACCGGGCTCCTTAAATCTCTTAGAAATCAAAACCTCCAATGTTTTTAGAGATAGAGGGAGTATAATAAGATAATTTGGGAAGCATGCTAGTAGGAGTGATTAATTAACGTTACCATTATCATCAGGATTAATGTTGGTGGAAACAATAGGATTGGGAGTTGATGATGATGATGATGTGTTGAGCTTATTCCTGGCTGCTCTTCTTTTCTTTGGACCCGAAGGCATTTTTTTTTTCTGCTTGGGTTTAATGAATTATGGATTGGGAAAATGGGGTTACAGGTTTATGATCGATGATATAGAGGGAGTATGAAAAGTGTAGAGGCAAGGCTGATGAGTTTATGTAGGGTGGGGCAAAGGAACGTTGCATTAACTAATATAGCTAGGGATCGGAGTAGCATTTAGTACATATGGATGGAGAGCGTCTCGATGCATAATTGGGAATTACAATAAGAGTTGAGAATTGGAAAAGGTTAGTTGCGCGCAGCACCCATTCAATCACTCCCTACCGTTTGGGTACCATTATGTTATTCTTGTGCAAGTGCCAAAACTTTTGGAAAATGCCCCAAAAAGTGAACTGGAGGGATCCTTCGAGCACTCGAAATACTCGTGAAGCTCAAAATTTCTTTCTCTGTCACATCAGTTTTAATTTACCTCACAGATTCAGTGAAAATGGGTTTGAAGCCCCGGAGCTTCAAACAGGGGCTTCAAATCTTCATTTTTTACATTTTTAAATATACATCTTCTAAATTTAAATTAATAAATTTTAATTAATTTATTATTTAAATTAATCAAAAGGAGACTAGTGCATTAAAAAAATTACATTCATTAAAAAAATATTACATCCATAAAAAAAGTTACATTCATTAAATTAATATTACATTCATAAAAAAACAACACTACAAAGAAATACGGAGTACTAATTATTCGAGCGACTAAAAATATCTTCATTTAAATCCGAATTGTAGTAACATATTGCAAACTGAAATAATTCATTAAATAAAAAATACAGTCAATAAAAAAGTATGTTAAATTTAAAAAAACAAAAAAAATTACATTACTAAAAAAAAATTTAAACAAAAAAATATTACATTAAACAACAAAATATAGAGTAAAAAAATTATGTTTGTGTATGTTTTAATTTTTTAAAGAGAAAGAATATAAAGAGTAAAAAAAATATTTAATCTTATGGCATTAATGTAATTTTGTGTTGTTTTTTTATGGATGAAGCCCGTTAAATGTTTGTAGCATAAGACATGAAGCCCGTATGTATGAAGCCCCAAGGGGGCGGTGTTTACTGCCCCTTTAGCGTTAAAAGCACCAATAACGCCCCCGGCATTACAACCAATTCCAGTGCTCTTATAGCATGTGCAATGGCAAGAAAGAGGGATGCCTTGCACTGCCACATCAGTTTCTTTCACTCATATCATGGCATGGAAAGGCCAAAATGCCTTGCTTGGTGAGACATGAGTGTGGCATTTCATACTTCTTTTTTTCTTTTTTTTAAAAATTTTTATGAAAAAAATATACAAGAAAGTAAAATAATTTTTTAATAAAATAAATAATAAAAAGATTTTTTATGTTTAAAAAACATAAAAAAAAGTAAAAAAGTGATAAAAAATAATGACTTGCCATTGTAGGACTTGTCACTCCACTTACTTGCCACACGCTGACTGGACTATTTTTGATAGGTTAAAATGTTCCATGTCACCGTGTGGCATTCTATTTTTGCTTTGTCATTGTTGCTGCTCTTATATGGCACCAAGGTTCACATTTAAAATATGTACATTCTCATTTTCTCATGGGACTGCATGTGAACTTTTTTTGCAAAAGGTCTGCTTCTTTTATGCTACAAATGCACTCAGGTTCAACAAATGAGCATTGATATTAGGTTCACGGAAGAATTTGCCAACCGTGAAAAATACTCAATCAAAAAATATTGTAAAAGACTGAAGTTAACCCTAACTAAAGAATATATTCAACATTAATTTTGTAGTACAAGCTAACTTTCACAGCGTAATTTTTGAAACGAACATATATATATATTACAGTAACACAGAGTATATTACTCGTATAATATAAACACATAGATATGAAGCAAACCTTTTTATATTTTTCCATTAAATAATCAGATTATTTTAAAATTTTGGTTCAAGTTTATTATGTGTAGACTATACTTTGTCCGAGTATTATTTTGTTTCAAATAAATTTAAAAATCATTAAGAACAATTTGAAAAATGTGGTAATATTTTGATATTATTCGTTCTCTTTAGTTTATGACCTAAGTTTCATAAGAAAAAAACATCTAATTTAATTTGACCGCTTGCGGTCAAAACAATATCAAATCTGACTGCTTGTTGTCCATAACAATATCAAACCCGACCGCTTGTGTTCCGAACAATAACAAATCTGCTTGTTTGTGGTCTGAACAATATCAAAACTGGACCACTTGCGGTGTGAACAATGTCAACACCCCATTTTTTGGTATCTATTAAGCATAACGATGATTGACTACATCTATTTTCAATTCATTATATATATATGACAAATGAGATGAAATTAAAAAAAGAAATCTTTCTAAGGACTCGTTCTCTTCAACTTATTTCTCTAATTTGTTACCTATTCTTATTAAAATCAAATAAGATCACATAAGATCAAAATCCATTCATGTAAAATTAGATCGATCCTTCAGATCATATTTATTCAGATTAGATTCGATCAAATCCATTTATAACAAATCAGAGAAATATTAAACAATAAATAATGTTAACATACTAATAATAATAACAATTTGAACTTGAAATCAAATTCAAATTACTATTAATAGTATTAGTATTATTATTAGTAACAAGAACAACAACAACAATAGTAATAATAATATTAATTTGATTTTGAATTCAAATCAGATTAATTATGATTAGATCAGATGAGTTCATATTTGTTCAGATGATATCAATTCAGATTCGTTCAAATTAGATCAGATCAGATCAACTTAAAGAAACTTAGTTCAAATATGATCAGGTCACTTGAAGAGAACGTTTTTAAATAGGAGCAAAAGATATTGAAAATATTAAATTATGAGTAACACTCCTTTTGTGATCTAAACTAGATTCGACCATGTGCATTGCACGACAATAAACTTAATTTTTAAAAATAGTGATTAATGATGAAAGAATAATTTTAAAGTTCAAGACTATTTTTTAATTAGTTATTAACTAAGTTTGCAAATCAAGATTTAGATCTCTAATGTGAATGGGTCGAAAATGGTTTACTGTAGTGCTAATAAAAATAAGGTTTAGGGGCTGTTTGGCAACTTCTGAATCGGTAAGTGCTGAACCAGTAAGAGGTCTGAACCATTAAGTGCTTAACCAGTAAGAGGTCTGAACCATTAAGAGCTAGTATATTGCTTAACTATTCAGAGGCAAATGTCTGATCAATTCAGATAAGAGGTCTTAACCATTCAGACTCTGTATAATACTTAACCATTCAGAGGCAAATCTCTTAACCATTCAGACATCTGAACCATTAAGAGGCTGAAACAAACAGTCCCTTAGAAGAGGAAGAATTTTAATTTCCAAAGAGGATGAACTAATTTAAGAATGTCAAAAATAGGTTGGATAAAAAAATATAGGAAACTTAGTCAAATTTTTCATGTGGAGTACTATACATTATACACACATACACGAGTTAGGTTTAAGTTCCCACTTTCACAACAAATGGATAACAATTATTCATCTACTCGAAATGATTATAGCAAGAAAAGAAGCGGCAGCGACGAGCAACACGGCGGCAGTAGATTTGGTGCCGGGTGTGGTGTCGGAGGCGCCGCTCTTTGCGGCGGCGGCGGCGGCTTCTTTCTCGTCAACCTGTTTGCAGTCGAGGCCGTTCTTGTCTTCCTTGCAGAGGTTGCCGAAGAGGCCGGCGGGGTACTTGCCGTAGAGGTGGAGGTAGTTGAAGAGGACGGTGGCGCAGTTGTTGTTGTCGGCGTTGAGGGCGTCTCTGTTCTTGCACGCCAGCTCTTTGAATGCTCCGCAGCATATCTTCCCGTCGTAGTGGGGCCCCTTGCATTGGCTCGTCACTATTGTATAGTTCTGATTCTCCATGTCTATTGGACAGTCTGGACCAACCCCCACAAAATGTTTTTGGTCAACAAATTTATCATTCGGAATATTTGTCAGGTTTTAACTTTTACGCGGTTATTTATTTTTATTTTTTGACCAATAGATAAATAAAAAATATATGATATATCAATTAAGTGAAATGATATTTTAAAAATATTTTATAAAATTAATCTAATAAAATTATTTTTGTATCAACATCTAATACTACTTTGATTTAATATGTAATCTAAGTTTGTCACTTTTGAATGTAAAAAGTCAAAAGCAAAGAATTACTCAGAGACGAAGGTAGTTTATTCTAACATTATATACAACTAACTTCAAATGAGAATCATGCACATTCTCACGAAGAGCGGAAAAATTTTTCAAACGATTTTGGCAATTTTGAAAAAAAGTGTCCTAACAAATTTAGTGTAACGGTGCTCCCGAGGTTCCAATTCTCGCTCCGCCTTTGCATTCTCACATCCCTTCATTCCATATAAATGAATACAAACATACATTATGTCTACGTTCATTGATCGAAAAATGAATGATTTTAACGGTTACGGATGAACCGAGACAATATGGAACGAAGGGAGTATCCAATATAAAATTATATGGATTGGGTTAGAAAATGCATAATGGAAACATTCATAGAAGAAAAGATAAAAGAGAAAATTTGGTACCTTTTTTCTCTTGGAGAAGGGAACGCCCTGCGCTTCCACCGTTCTCTAGCAACTCATCTGCTCATTCATTTTTATGTAAAGAAAAAGGAAAGTTCATTTAAATTTAAATGTAAAGAAAAATGTTCCCAAAATGCATAATTCACATAGGATCGAATTCGAAATGAAAAAAAGAAAAAAAATGATACATTTTATGTATGATGAGGGAGCACCAAAGCCGAGGAGGAGGAGGAGGAAGAAGAGAAGCGAAAAGAAGCCGTTTCTTAACCCCATTGCCGCCTTCCCTTCTTCTTCTTCTTCTTTAATTTATTATCTGTTCTTTTCTTTTTCTTTCTTTCTTTCTTTGTTTTGGAGGAATTAAAATGCTATATATTTGATTGCCTTGGAGTTCCTCCTCCTAACAATGGCAACGGCCCCTTTCTGTATTCTGTTCTCTCCTTTTTGGTAGAGAGAGAAAGGAAAAACAAACAAAAAAAAATAGAGAAGAGAAAAGGTTATGTAAAATAAGAGATGCCACAGAAATAGGAGAGCGACCTGGAGAAACAATGGTAAAGAATAAATGTCAATTTGTTTTTCTACATATTTTCCCAAACACAATTAACACATATTCCCCCCATTACAAAAACCAAAGCTAGTTTTTTAAGCACATGGTCAATTTTTTTTAAACTATTTTTTGTTACTAATTTAATAAAATAATACTCCAAATTTCGTACTATCTCTATTTCAAAATGAGTATTTTTTTTTTATTTTTTTCGTTTGTTTAAATCTAGATTTGTCTACGGATTTATATTTATAAAATTTTATTAATATTTCAAATAAATGTTGCAAAATTAATCTATTAATATTGAACTTATGCAATTATGTTCAAAGTTTAAAGATCTTAACAAACAAGGGGTCAGTTCATGTGACATTGGTGTTTAATATCATAAAATGACCTGGTGCACTTGCATTGTAAGATAAATATTACAGCAGAAAAGAAAAATAATAATAATTCGAACTTATAACACGTTCGGATTTTACAACGAAAATGAAAAAAATAAGTACAATAAATCGCCGGTGGTCGGAAAAACGAACGGAGAAGGAAGGAAATCGTCGGAGTCGCCGGAGCTTTCCTTCAGGTTACTCGCCCGCCTCCCGCACCGGCTAACGTGGACGATCTCTTCTCAGGATACAATCGCCAACGTGCAAGGTATAGACGACGAGAGAGTAATTCTAGAGAAAATGATCTGCTGGAACACAAAGAATTTGAGTGTTTTCACTTCTTTTCTTCCCTGCAGCCAAGCCCCCCTTTTATAGGAAGGAAGTTGGCTCTTCAAGTGGACCAGTGGACATTCTGAGACGCAGGTGACTCCTCACCCTTCGCGTGCGCGCGTACGTGCGTGTCGTGTTGAGCCGAGTAGCACAGACGGCGACACGCAAGATCTCCCTTGGTTCTTCCATCATAAATTGCTTTACAATGTTATTAAAGACTAACATATATATAGAGGAACTTGAAGAGCCTATGAATTCAATGTGAGACACAAGAATTCTCCTCTACCAAGTATTCGATTTCGAGAATTAATTTTTCATTTACCCGAGCATTAATTTTGACACACAATATCTCGTAATACTCGTCTCACTTAGAATAATATTTGTCCATAACTATTTTGCAAAAATAAGTTGTGGACCCTACCGAAATTCATGTGACATTGTTGCTTATTGTCATAACATGACCTGGTGCACCTGCATTGCTCTATTTGAAAAACAAATGATTTCTATCCTCCCCTATTACCCACCCCCATGCCCCGAGCTATGTCCAGTGGGGTGGTGCATGGAGGATTTAAGAGAGGGGATTCCAAAAAATGAGAAAAAAATTACTCCCTAGAGACAAAAGTAGTACAAAGACAAGGACATAATGATCGAATTGCCTTTTGAGTCATGCTTAGTGTTCTCTGTCAAAAATGAGGTCAAACTTAGAATACCCCAAGGTTAATTCTTGTCCTTCACAACTTTGCGAGGGCCATATTATTGGCTTCCATAGAAGCTTTCCTTCACCCACACGTTTAGGAACAAAAGCTTTCCACAGTCTATGAATAGAGACACTTGATCCCAATAAAATGTTTCATGAAAATTGTACACATATGTCTCCTAGGCTTGCTCAATTAAAATAATTAGTTCTTACTTGTTAACAAATTGTGGTTGCCTGCTGTGATCCGGGCAAAGTCAGTCAGCATGAATCATCCGGCGCCTGTGGAATGATGTTGCTACAGTGCCTGCCTTCACGAGCGATGGGCCTTCCCATGCGAAGGCGGCGTTTGGTTAGTACATCTAAGAGGACCTCCAAAGCATCTTCAATTGCATCGGCGTGCTTATCTAACTCATAGGAGTCGAATGCAGGGAGAAGATGAAGCTCCTGCAGGAGGCCACTTGCTGCAGCTGCGGTACACGTCCGGTCCCACGACGGTTGGGGTCTACAATAATAATCATCACACAATACTTAAGGGGAATGGCAATAAGAAGGTTGATGGATGCTCAATATGTGCCAATATGTTGCACGTGTTACTCGAGCTGGGGGTCTCTTGGAAACAGTCTCTCTACTTTCAAGTAGGGGTAAGGTTTGCAAACACACCCTCCCCAGACTAGACTCTACTTCTGTGGGATCATAGTGGGTTGTTATTGTTGCTGTTGTAGAAAGCAGATGGATCCGATTCATCTATTGTACTTGTATTTTATACGGATTCTCTCATCGGACGTGTCTGACCAATTCTATGACACGGACATGATCTGAGCCACTGGATGAGTTTACCATGTAGACCGGGTAAGAGTCCAGTGGCTCAGATCATCCGTGTCACACACAATTGGTGAGACACGTCTTATGGAAGCCTAACTCTCTTATTATTACCTCAATCTATGCATCAAGGATAGGCCTGTATTTAGCGAGATGCAAGGGAGCTCCTCACCCCAAAGTGACTTGGCTCGCTCCTGCCAAAAACACCATTTCGGATCAGGTAAAAAGGGCAGGTGCTGAAAAACAATTCGTAAAGGGAATAAATAACGGGGATCATAATGAATAAATGAATTTGAACAAATGCCGGATTACCGGAACACTTATATTAAGTTTGGGCTTATTGTTTACTTTCTCCCATAATTCAGGAGATGGACTGAAAATAATACTTTCTCCATTCCCAAATTAATCCTCTTACTTTCCTTTTTAGTCCGTCACAAAATAATTGTCCTACTTCTTAACTTACTTAATATAGTAAAGAATACGTGGTCTATAATTTTTCTCTTCTAAACAAATTTCAACTACCATTTCTTAGTTTTTAACAGTTTTTCTTAAACTTCACAAGTCAAACTAGGACAATTAAAAAACCTTTAAACGGCTGAACATTGCAGTAGAATTGCTCCAGGTGCCATCAAGTAGAATAAAGTTGAAGACATCATAGCTATTTGCCTGCAGTATGTCAGTAACTAATAGAAATTACAGAATAACCCCAAAATACAAAAAAAGAAAAAAAGTTTAGTTCCTCTGGCATGAACACTTAAACAAAATTATGATTAAAAAGGTACATTTTCTGGTTGGCAATCTACCATTGGATCTGCCAAAGAAGTATGGTAAAAGCTGTCCTTGACAGATTTTGAAGGAGCATTCTTATTAGGATAAAGACACCAAACCTTGTCCTTCCCTGATTGCACAAAATATTCGGTTATAAGATAATAATGAAAGTTGATCGAAGAAGTAAATCAGAAACAGAATCTACGTTTACTCAAATCATGAAGAAAGAATGCAAATATATAACAGAATATGTAACTGTGAGACTTAAATAATTCTCATATCAATTCAGTATTCTTGTTAAGTCTTGGTCTTGCTGAATCGGTTCACAACTGTACTATCATTACAACTAGCCAACTCTTAAACTACCTTAACTAAGAGATGTAAAGGCTAAAGACATAATCCATATAAATAAAAAGAAAGGGACGAGAACCTGAAAGTTTTAACGCATTCCATAGCATGTCCTCATTTTCAGAAATGCCAAATAAGATCAAATTAGCAGCATGAACACCAAAAACTTGCCATAACAGCTTTCCTGTGTTATTTTGGCGCAAGAAATCCTGTAGAGGGGTCAATGTTTTTTGATAATACACTATTTAATGCCTTATGATATATTGAAAAGAAACACACAAAAGATCCAACCTTGGGATGCATATACAACCAAAACCGGATACGGTGCCAAGAATTATATGGTATGACTCTTGAACACATACAATCTTCCTTCGCGAGCCAACACTATAGGAAATTGAAGTTGGGAAATTATATTTTACAGGTGTGGATTAAGAATCAAAATGACATTACAGATATTAAAAAATATAAAAGAAGTTATGAACATAATATGAGAGCCATGCATATACCTTCTGACAAAGGTAATCTCTACTTCCAAGTAAACGGCATGCAATTTGTCTTGCTGAAAAGAACTGTAGCTTACTTTCAGAATCACCTAACGACTTGTATTTTGCTCTATGCTTCTTATCTTCATGCACCTTGAACTCTCCCTGAAGATCAGAACAGTCTGAAAAACAATGAGAACTCCCAAAATCCTCAACCAGAAGTAAGAGCTGCCAACAATACCTTTCGGAAATGGATATCTGCTGGCACTGTTCTAAAATGCACTAGGTCACCTCTATATGGAAGACACTCGAGAGCCTAGCATCTAATTTACATTAGGCAATGATTAGTCTAGTTAAGGGCCTAGGCAGGTTCGAAATAAGAAACAAAAATGGAACCTAGGAAGGAACATGTTGAGCAATCTTTGTAGCTCAATGCTTTAGTAGCCAAGAATAGAAAATGATGGTGGCATCATTAATTAAGAGCTCGTCTGGTAGCCCTATCCGGCTTATTCTGCTTATGCATAAGTAGCTTCTGACCGATTAGGCTGAAAAGGATTTTAGCTAATTAACCTTACCAAACTGACTCTTATACTCGAATTGACATTTCTAGTCCTTGAGATTAGATTGTGATATGAATACATACTTAAGATATCGAAAATTTTAAGGATTAACGTGATGCGCATAACATTTCAATCATATTTTATTCCGATTTAGAAATGTTGTACTTATCAAGATAAAGCTACAGACTAAATACTCCAAAGCCTTCCACTGCTAAACTCTCCATTCAAACAAAATTTTTTTATTTTAAACCCTCAATAAGGCCACAGAAGCATTCAAATTCGGCTAAAAATGAGCCATACAGGACCCTGACAGAAAGGTAAAAACAGCCCATTTCAAATCTCATTACCTAAATTGCAGACTCCATGGAACACCTTACAAAAGAGAAATATGAAATCTAGGTTTAATTTGCATTGAAGATTACTTTGAATACTCATAAATAAATTAAAATGGTAACAGATGTGGAAAGATGTTCATTCTATTACCTGGAGTTTTCCATGGTTTCCTCCAAAGTCCATGCGAGCATCAACATGTCTCTCCAGAAGCTTCAAGTCTTCAATCACCTCAACCACCATTGCAGGTACGGGGGAGGTGCTTCCCCAACCCTGCCATTCCTCGGGGCTAATTGAAGCTCCTCTGCCACTCACCCCGTGGGAATCTGGAGAAAGAAGGGATAGAGAAGCAGAGGATAAGCGTCTCGTCTCCATGCCTTTGGCTCGGGCTCGGGCTCTGGCCTTCGCTGGACGCAGTGGAAGGAGGAACAGGAAGCCCTCGATGGTAGAGAAGGGTGCGCTGGTACAAAAGCGCATTATTGTGTTACAGCGGGGTGAATATGAAATTTTCAGTAATAGTGTCATCAAAGCTTTAGCTTATTCCGATACTTATAGTAATTGGGTTCTTAATTTGATTATAAATTGGGATTAGGATGTAAAATTTCTTGTCTTTTAAAATCATTTAATTTATAAATTGATATATCAATAAAAAAAATAAAAATTACATATTAAAAAATTATGTCAAAAGTTGTTAGAATATAAGAAACATTTCCTGTAATATAAATATGAACTCAGTTGTTAGAATATAAGAAACATTTCCTGTATTCAGTTCCATTATCACACTGAACAGCCTTAATAGTAGCATTAAACTGATTTTTCACAAAAGCAATAAATGTGTGAAGATGAGAACATGCATCAGATTTCTGTTTAAGAGGAAACACCCACAAAAAATGAGAATAATCATCCAAGAGTATCATGTAATGCTTAAAACCAGTAATACTAGTAACAGGCGATTGCCATAAATCAGTATGTAAAAGCTGAAAGGGAAAAGTAGAAATACGACTCGATGACTCAAAGGGGAGACGAACATGTTTCCCCAACTGACAAGCATGACAAAGAGACTGCTATAAATGTTTAAAAGACATGGAGGAAAGACTAGGGATTTCACGAAGGACGGCAAAGCTAGGGTGGCCAAGACGACGATGCCAGAGCTCCGAGCTACCGGTGACAACGTTGACTTGGGCTTGGGCTCGGGCGGTGGACTGGCTCATAGGGTAGAGAGGGCCGACATTATTGGACCGATGAATCACGGTTCTCGTCAGCATATCCTTCACAGAAAAACCAGTGGGGTCAAATTCAATTGAGCAATTATTGTCACGGGTAAACTGGCGAACAGAAATAAGGTTGTGGGTAATATGGGGGGAGACAAGAATATTTTGTAAGTTAAGGGGAGGGGATGTGGGAAATTTATAGTTACCTATAGCCGTAGTGCGAACTTTAGAACCATTACCGACAGTGATATATGATGAAGAATTTAATGAATGAGTACGAACATGAGAAAGAGTACCTGGGTCCGAGGCAATGTGGTGAGTGGCGCCGGTGTCCATATACCAATTGGGATCACGGAGGNCGTGGGGTGGGTGAGGGGTAGAAAAATAGGCTTGTGGGTGTTGGGGGTGCGGGTAGGGGTTTGGCCGCGGGCCTAGAAGGCCCGGGTTAGAGTTTTGGTAGGTGAACTGTCCGGAGGGCTGCCCGAAAGTGTTCCGTGCATTTGATCCGGAGCTGCGGCCGCGACCACGACCCCGAGATGAACCGCCACGATGCCGGGAATACTACTGCTGCTGCCCGAAGCCTCCCCCGCCACTAGATTCTGACCGCCCGCCACCAGCGCTGCCTTGTCGCAGTGGGCCTCCACTGCCGGCGTATAACACCGTGCCGCCGTCCCCCGTGTTGCTACCGACGCCCAGTTCAGCCCGTTGTTGTTCAATTAAGAGGAGGGCCGAGCGGGTTTGGAGAAAGGTCGGGGGCGGCGTTTGGTATTGAAAGAACGACGTTTGTCTTCGAAGATCATCCGGGAGACCACGCAAGACTTGAAGAACAAGTTGTTGTTCGGAGACGGGGGCATCTACATCATCCAACCAATCCGCAAGATTCCATAGGGTTTGACAATAAGCGGCAATGGAGAGAGGACCCTTTGTGGTGGTGCGGAATTGGTGTTCAAGTTGCATCGCCCGGGCCGGCTTGTTGTCGTGGAAGATGTTATAGATGGCTTTCCAAAGCTCGGATGCGGAGTTGGTTGTAGAGAGAACAAGATCGCAAATTTCATCATTAACCGTGGAGAGGATCCAACCTTGTATGAGGGCGTCAAGCTGGAACCATTCCGAGTCGTCGGCGCTGGAAGGAGACGACTTGCCAGTGAGAAAATCACCCAGAGAGAACCTTCGAATGAGGAGGAGGAAGAGCCGGCTCCACTTTTTGTAGTTGGGCTCGGAGAAGCTTAGGAGAATCGGCACATGGAGCTTCACGTTCGAGATCGTCGTGAACGCCAAGTGCGGAGTTGGAGAAGATGACGTTGAATCGGTGACGGAAGGCTTCTCAGACATGATGACCGAGGGGTGGTTGCTCGCCGTGGGAAAGGAGATCGCCGGAGAGAGACAGCAGTTTAACAACTTTATGAGGGAGAACACAGCGTTATGCCGGAGGAGCTTCATGTTGTTCTTAATTGAACAACAACGGATGAGAACAACTTTATATTTTCATTTTTGAATGAAATATATAGTTACGAAATTAGATTTTTAGAATTCAAATAATACAAATGAAATCAAATTCATATTTTCAAGTGGGGATGTGGATAAATATTTAACCTCAAAAACTAAATAAAAAAATTGATTACATTTTAAAAATCTAAACAAATAGAGAGAATGTTGTTGTGTATTATTCGCTAGAGCGGTTGGAGTCTTGGACTCTCAGCTGGATGGAGTCAAAGAGACTGGTAGACCATGGATGATATTTAATTAGCAAAGAACGTTGGTGGATGACTCGAACTGTGATTCGGCTTCTAATACTTTTACAATTGTTGAGTCTTCAAAATTTAAAGCCTTGTATTTTTTTGGAGGAAGATAATCAAGTAAACTAATCTGATCTAAAATTTAACCTAATAAATTTTCATAGTTGGAGCCGATAGAAGAAAACTTTTTACGATTTAATATGTATAAAATTTGTAAATACTTTTGAGGTTAAAAATATGTGTATTATACATTTGTCACACGAAAAATTCATATTCGAGAGTATAATACATGTATTATATGTACGGCGGTACAACTGTATAATATGCATATTATACGCGAATAAGCTAATAGTGATCAAAGTCAAAGTATCCCCTCCCTCTCTAATTGCCCAGGTTCTATCATATATCGGGTTGTACCAAAATTTTTGGTACAATCGGATCAAAGTTGTAATCGTGTGGAATGGGAGAAGAGCCACGATGTTGCTTCCATCTAGAATTCTAGATGTGACGATGGAAACGACGCCCTCCAAGAGGCAATCGAGCGCACAGGCGAAATGGAAAGGCAATGGTGGCCAGGACAGTGATACAGTATCGTATCGGGATAGGGAAGGATTTCGAGCACCTTCGAGCTCCAAGAACAAAAGAGTCGAGGAAGAGAGAAAGATTAGGATTTAGGAGAAAGTATTTTTTTATTCATTGATTCATAATACTATGGTGATGGATACATTTATAGGCTCCAACTCTAGAGAATCTCAATAATAAATGGTAACTAAATAATTTAAGAATCATAATTATAAAATGTAACTAAATAAACTAGGAAACTAAGTAATCACCTAACAAATATATTATTCCCTAATAATAGTTAACTAACTATAATAATTCCTTACCATAATAATAATAATAATAGTAATAATAATAATAATAATCCCGTTACAGATAGTTGATCGACTAAGGACTGATGCGAAAGGTAAAATTTACCCCATATAAGACTAAAAGGTAGTATGTTTTTCTGAATAGGGCCAAATATGTTTTATTCCTTTTATGGTACATCTTTCCATATAATTTTTCATATATGCCATCATTAGCAGCAAGTATTGGATAATGATTGATTATACGAATGATTTTACGAATATGGTCGATCATTAGCAACAAGTGTTGAATAATGACTGATTATTTTAATGACTATTCAAATTGTTTTTAATAATGTCTTATTCTAGTTGAATTGTGTAATAGATCATTTTTTCTCAAATGCAGGACATTTTAGAACTTTTCATTGTCAAATGTTAGAGTAGATAGGACTGATCCTATTTAGGAAAAAGTGATATATTTAAGTCTCATTTGCGCAAATTACCCTTGCGAAAACCCTAGGTTGGGGAAAGAGAAGTCACCACGACGATGATACAGATTGGGCGCCTCTTTCATTGAGCAAACCACCAATGATGACGACGGATGAATAAACACTACATTGCTCCAAATGAACACTACGTGGTTTCAGAACGAACACTACGTTGAGTATGCTGAAATGAAAACTACATTATTTTTAAATTAGTATATTATAAGTAAAATGAACATTCTGTTGATTTAAAATAAACGTTACCGGATGTATCTAGATATAAGTAGACTCGATTTTACACTAGGCGTTCTCCTCAAATTGGTTCTCTCGAGAAGAAAACATCTTTAAGCATTTTTTAAAGTTTATAACTATTGTTGTAGGTAAGCATTTTTTAACTCCAATGGCTAGGCCTCTAAAATATATGTTGCATCATTTATTTTTAGATTTTACTATTCACATTTTATGACAATATAATTTATTAAAATATTTAGAAATTATTTTATTTTTTTACGTTATGGTCGTCTTTTGTTTTTCTTTACTTTTATGAATTTAAATTTTTAAATATAAATTCTTAAAAAATAAAAATAAAAATGTATACTCTGTAATTTAAATATACTTCTTCTGTCCTAAAATGTCTTTTTTGTTCTTGTATCCTTTCTACTAATTTAAAGAACAAATATTTTCTTTCTATTTTTTTCTCTTCTATATTTTTTCTTTCTCATTTTTTTCTTTTCAAATTTGTCATATACCCGTAGTACTACCCAAACAATGCATTAAAAGCAATGGAAGTAGGGGATATAATATGATATGATAGCCACGTATACCTATGGATTACGGAACTAGAATTCCCCGCGGCCCATTTGCCCACTTGTTGAAATTAAAATCCGGACAAAATTGTTGTTGATAAAAGTTGTTTTAAGTTGTTGAAAAATACTCTGTATGGTAACAGATACAATAAACATATGATCTTCTTTGTATGTGGGTCTCTAAATAAATCAATATGAAATGGATAGATGTCAAAGCAGATGCTTTAATTTCCATTATCTTTTTTACACTTTTTTTCCTGTGGGTATTTTATTTTTTGTCTTTATTCTTCTTCTCTTTGAAATCTTTGAATATATGCATTTGATTCTCTGTTTCAGAGTATCCAGAATTAAATGTTTGTTTAATGCAATGAAAGTAAATGAAAGAAAGAAGAAGAATAAAGTGAGAGAAAAGAAATAACATATGCCACAAAATCTTTTCAAAAAATGAAAAGTGGATTTTTGTTGCCAAAGAAAGAAAATCCTTGTAATTACCCCAAATGTACATCACCCCTCCATTACCACTCATTTTTATATATTTACTTCTTTTTTATTTTACATTCCAAAATATGTGGTAATAAAGGAGATTATGTATATTTGGGATACACCAAAGGTGTACCCTTAACATTTTTGTAAAATTTATTGAATTACTTCCGGCTTTTGGAGATGAAGAAAATAAAGAAAACTTGATTTTTGGAAAGAGTTCCAGCTAGGGATGGCTACAGGTCGGGTTCGGGTTGGATAGTACTATACTCGAACCCGACCCGACTTTTAAAACTGAAATTGAAACCCGACCCAAAACCCGACCTTAAAACCAAAAACCCGACCTGACTCGAACCCGATATTTAAATTCGAAACCCGATCTGTAATTTAACCAATAACCAATTTGACGTACCCCAAGAATTTTAAAAAGAATAAATCTAAATTCTTTTGTGTCTCTTTTTTGTATCTCATTTTTTGTGTCAAGACGATTGCGTGACTAGAAATACGAACAAGACAATAGACAGATCAAAGATGCAAAGAAGGAAGAACCACACAAGAATGAAGAACACACATAGATGCGATGTAAGGACCGAGAGGTTGCGATTGCACTAGAGAATTAGAAAAAGAGATTATACAGAGTGCTCTGATAGCGTTTTAGGTTATAAATATTCGGGTTTGGGTCGGTGCAAATATTGCATACAGTCGAGAGAGAATCCAAGCATCTGCTTGGATACGCACTTCGTTTACCTGAGCAGCTATAGGAAGGGGGTCGATCTGCCCTCATTCCCCACCAATTCATTACATCTCTCTCTTCACTCTAGTGCCTAGCACGAAAATTTTTTAGGTTTCATTTGGTACACGAAATTCAAGTCATAAAATTAGATTTGAAGACTTCAATTTCAATTCCAATACAGTTGTTTTTAGCTCTCTAATCTTCATAGAACTCACTAGCCCAGGCAGCGAGAAGACTCGTCTTATCCCTCATATCATTACTGTTTATATCGCATTTAATAAATATTAACACTCATGAACTAGTGTTAAGTATTTGTAAGAATTTTCATATTCAAGCTTACTTTGTGATAGTTATATCAATTTCGATAATCCCCAAATATCTTTTGACATGAGTTATCAATGTCATAATATATATCGCATGGGGTACCTGCGATACGTTCTTCACAAAATTAATGATTCCTACGCTGCTAACTATTTAATTTCTAAACCATCCTTTCCTATCCCAGCACCAACCATTGCCTTGTCGATCGCCGAGTGCCGAATCGGCATTGAGGGTGGGACATGGGGTTTAGGAGGTTGATATATACCATCAATTTTTTGAACGAGATATCGCTTGTTTCTCATGTCATTTCAATGAAACAACTAAACGAAAAGATCAAGCTTGTGGTTATATGCGCAATAAAAATTTTATATTCTAATACAGTAATACGTCTACCCATATGCAGACATGATTTTTGTTTAATTTGTTTGAGATTTAAAACTTTGTGCATAGTAGTGTTGGAAATTTTTTGATAAATTGGACATTTTCAGACATAAATTCGGTAGGGTCCACAAAATTATTTTACGAAATAATTATGGACGTTTAATCTCGTAAGTAAGATGAATAATTCGACATATTACACGCCATAAATGGTGCTTGGGTGAATGAGAAATTAATTCTCAAAGTTGTATATGAGGGAAGGGTAAAACCCTTGTCCCACACCGGTTTTTGAACCTTTCGTATTCTCATATTTAAGCTTAGGCATTTAATTGAGCTTATGAAAGGAACAAGAAGAGGACTCCTCGCGCGCCGCCGCTGTCGTCCGTATGTCTGGCTCAGCACGCGCGCGTCGGGGCAGGGCTAGCTTTTTACGAGACCGAATCAAACACGCGTGTACACTTTGAGAGTTAAAGCATGCATGCACATGGAGGCGAATGGTTGGCCTGTGATGCCTCAGTAACTCCGTCCAGTCCAATTGAAGAGCCAATTCCTCTCCTATAAAAGGAGGGCTCGGCTGCAGGGATGGATCACTCGAAAAAAGTCTCTGAAATACGAATAGCTTTCCGACTATCTCCCCATTCCGATCATCTTCTCCGGCAGTAACATCTTGTCATTCTCGTTCGTCGCTGCACGGTTCTACCGCCCTAGGCCTTGCACGTAGCGGTTTTATCCTGGGAGGAGATTATCCATGTTTGCCAGTGCGGGAGGCGGGCAATACTACCTTAAGGAAAGCTTCGGCGACTCCGCTTTCCTAACCTATATTTCCAGAAATTGCTCCGGAGACTCGCAGCTTTACGTCCGACGCTCCTACCGCTGGTGCTGCTCGTGTTCTTCCTCTGTCCGTTCGTGTTCCAGTTCTATCCATTCGTGCTCTTCCCGCTGTCCGTTCCCGTTCGAGCTTCCCGAAGTTTCAATTTTCTTATTTTTATTTTAATTGTAAAATGCGAACGGTTTATAAGTTCGGATTATTATTAATTTTATTTTTCCCGCTGTAATATTCAGCAAGTAGTAAGGTAGTTCGAACTCGACATCTTGACCAGGAAGACTATGATATGATATTTCAAAGATCGATCTTGATTGATTGTAAAATATATCATAATTTGACAAATATTCTGGAACAAAAGGAGAGTAATACTCCCTCCGTCCCATAAAAATTTTCTCTTTTTTTCATCTGTTCCAAAAAAAATCTTTCTCATTACTATTAAAAAGTCCATTTACTTCTACTAATTAATCAACATATCACATCACACTTTTTTTACTATTAATTTATTCATAACATCGTACTTTTAGCTATCATATCTTAGGATATTTTTAAAAAATTAACACTAAAATAAGGTTTTTTTAAATTCTTTAAAAGTTAAAATTAGTAAAGTTTTGTGGGACGGATAGAGTAATTTTTTATTTTATGCTAGTAGTTTTGGTCCAATTTCTTTGAAAATAAGAAATACTCTACTCCGTAGACAGCCGCTTTATTTCATGTTCAGTTGGGGACCATGATGTGTCTAAAAATGAGATCCAGACGGAGGCAGAGGGAAATTCTAATTAGAAGAGTCTTCTTAACGGAAAGGGTTAAACTTACTTAATTAGTTATAATTATCCAAAGTCCAAAGTAATTAAAGTTAGACGATAACTTCAAAATAAAATTAAAAAAAAATATCTGCTTGGGTGTTTGTGTGGGGACTCACCCACGCGCCCCGCACCCCTTTCTCTGGTTTCTCTTGGGTATATAACAGCATCGCCATTACCGAAACCTTCAATTTCATCTTTCGATTTTCTTCTCTGCTCCGCCACTTGTTGATTCTCTCGCCTTTTCTTCCGCTAAGTTCAGATTCCATACCAAGCTCGAAAACCCTTCTCCAGCGACCAAACGCAGCTTTAATTTCGGTGCGTTTATCTTCTTCCACTTTACAATACTCTGTAATTTAACCAGGGTTCTTGATTTCTTCCCTTCTATGGCGTTTTTTTGATCGTTTTGGAAGGTTGATTCTTCTGGGTAGTTTTTTTTATTCATTTTCTTTCAACCCTTTTGTGGGAATGATCGAATTTGAGTGTTCATGTTTCCAATCATAGTATAGGATAAGTATGTTATAAGTAATAACCCTTTCATACAATCCTGCAGATCTATGATTCTGTTCTGAGCCACATGTACTGATCTTTGAATTTCAATGTTTTCTTTTGACAGTTTATCTTTTTAAGCATGTATGTGTGATTAATTATTCATTAGTTTTTGTTTCAAAAAAAAAAATTATTCATTAGTTTTTAATGATGCTGATGTGTCTCTTGGTTATACAGCTGAATACAACAAAAAACTTTGAACAAAAACATGATCTTTAACAGTATGGGAAGGGGTGGATTTTCTGTCTTTATTTCACCAATAGGTTTAATGGCAACAAAGTTTGTTTGTTTGTTTGTTTATTCATGACTGGCCCAGTTCAGGGTACAACTGATGGATCCAAATGTTACAACAAAAGTGATCCCCAATTCAATTAATTATGATCACAGAAATTGATCAGGAATTTTGGTTATATGTCATTTTCTGAACATTTATCATCACTTTGTATTTATTTCACAACAATTTGGTAGTTGGTAGGTGTTAACATGATAAACTCCCTCTTTATATGTTGTGATCTTTATAGGGACATTCATCACTTGAATCAATCCACCTTAATGTCTACTTAAACCCACTCTCTCTTGTTGCTTGAATGTGTGGTTCATAAAGAGATTAACACATCATCTGACCAGCTTTTGATTTTCTTTTTTGCAACAGATGGCACAGGTTCGTGGTATTTCGTCGGAGAAGTGGGAATCCCTGTCATCCGCAGTGGATGAACTGGAAAACAATCTGTGTGGAGGATTTGACTGTAACATTTGCCTGGATCTTGTGCGGGACCCGGTGGTCACGTTCTGCGGCCATCTCTACTGCTGGCCGTGCATTTACAAATGGATTCATTCCCAAAGCAGTTTTAACGAAGATGGGGATCTCCAACAGCCACAGTGCCCGGTTTGCAAGTCTGAAGTTTCTGAGAAAACTTTGATTCCAATCTATGGCCGCGGCATAACCTCAAAACCACAGCTTGCAGAAGGCAAGGCTGCGAATCTTGGGATCATCATCCCACAAAGGCCTCCTCCAAGTCCAAGACATGATGGGGTCATCAGCGATTCGCGCGATCTCCACCATCCAACTTACTCCCAACACGTGCCGACCTCCTCCCCAGCTATGCTTAGCCTGAGCAGCAACTCCACAACCAATGTGCTGAGCCATCCGATGATTGGGATGATTGGGGAAATGGTGTATTCGGGCATGTTTAGGAACCCGGAAACGGATTTGTATGGATACCCGAACGCCTACCATGTATCTTCGGGTGGTGGTGGGACCAGTCCGAGAGTGCGAAGGCAGATGCTGGAGGCCGATAGGTCGCTGGGAAGGGTGTGTTTCTTCATTTGTTGCTGTGTGGTGATATGTCTTCTCTTGTTTTGATCACTCTCTTATTGTTATTTGTGAAAAGTTTAATTCCCCTTGACCCTTTTAGTGCAAATGATGGATACAAGGCATCCTTCTTTGGTTTATAGAGAGCTTGCAGAAGCTGTATACTCCCCAATATTAGAATGATGATGAAAATGGCTATGGTGTTTGTTCTCTTGTGCACCTTGGTTGCTTCTCTATTATCTCATATATTGTGAATTTGTAATTTCCAATAGTAAGAGATCATCTTTACATTATATGTATGGTTCATATTAAGGATATGTGAGTACTTAGCAGAAAAAGTGAGGTACATTGCAATAATTTTTGGTGCAGGATGTGGGTTATCCTCTCTTTTAAAAAACTAGTATCACACCCTTGTGTTCCACGACTCATATTTACGTTATGAAATTACATTGGTGTCATTATTGAAGAATAGAAATAAATTGCATAACGAAAATATAAAGCTATAAAGTATGAATATCAAATGAATTAGAATTTTTGGAAAACTTCTTTATAAATTCTAACGATGTTTTTCAAACGGGATCTAAGTAAAGAATTGAGAAAATGATGAACATCTTCCAAAGCCCCTTAATATCAACCCGAACTGTATATTAAAGGGAGATAAATTGAACTATATTTTTAAATCAATTGAAAAAAATTAGATCTGTTTTCTAATACGATCTTAAACACATACAAAACGCTGGAGTCACAAATAAACAGTTCATAAAGTTTACAAACTTGCGTTTTTAAAATTCTACTAGAAATAAGATGTATTCAAAAAATAAAAGATATTTTAATTTAAAATCCACCAAAGACAATTTTGTAAAGTTTGTAAACTATTTGTTTGTCACGCTAGCATTTTCGTGTACGAGTTTATTGCACCAATACCTCATGTGGTTTGTTAAATGTGCACCGTTACATTCCATGGTTTCAAAACTTACATCGTTGCCCTCTGTGGTTTTAATATTCCTACATCAATGCTCCTATAGACTAAAATACCCTTCAAATATTAAATGAATAGCGCCGCTGCCCCTATATGGATTTAGAAATGGGCGCCAACACCCTGTCTCCTTTTTTTCTTTATTATTTTTCTTTTTTCTTCTATTTTTTCATCAATATTTTCGAAGATCTTTTTAAAAAGTTTTTCATAAATGTTTTAAAGTTATTTTTAAAACTAGTTTTATACTACGTAATGATTTAATAATAAAAAAATTGTTTGAAATAAAAAATTAACTAAAATAAAAATAATTAAGTACACTTCATTTGTCTCAAATTAAATAATTTTATTTTGTCCAAAAGAGATTATTATTGGTTCAGTTTCATGATACAAAAATCAATAAAAAAATTTCACTTGTTTACCTGAAGCTTATTTCACATTTTCTAGTTTTTAATTATTTTTCTCGTCATATAAAGTTCCTTTTATTTGAATAAAAATAAAATAAAAAATAATAGAAAAGAAATTGAAGAAGAAGAAAGTATATGAAAAGAAATACTTTTGTATAATAGGAAATTTAAGTTATGAAAAAAATTTGTTGCGCATCAATTCAAAAAATATATTATGAATATATAATTAAATAAATATTAAAAAGACTTTACTTTGTTAAGAAATTTGTTTTAGAAAAAATGAAAATATTTAATTTGAGACAAATGAAGTATATTTTAATTTTTTAACTTCAAACACCAACAATTTTTTAAAACATTTTTAAAACAATAGTTTTGAATAACAATATTATCATTATTTCAAACATAATAATTTTTCTTCTCTTTAAGAAAAAAAGACAATAAAGAAAAATAGAGGGGGCATTGGTGTACATTTTCAAAAGCATAGGGGGCAACCGAACTATTCATTTAATATTTAAAAGGTATTTCAGTCAAGAAGGACACTGGCATAGAAGTTTTAGAACCACAGAGGTAAGAATGTAAGTTTTAAAACTAAATGGAGTAATGATGCAGATTTACCAAATCACAGAAGGTATTAGTGCGATAAAGTCGGTATAATATGATCAGTCTACTTCCCCTACCAACGAATTGTCAAAAGTCTTATGACCGAAGTTTCTAAAAATGTGCAAATTTCTAGGTAATTATCTTTATCAAAAAAGGGGGACATCATCCCTCAGGCCTACTCAAACCCGGCGAAAAGTCACTCTGAAAAACTAAATCTGTTGGGGAATTTACGTAAATAACACTAAAACATAATGACTTTCTTTAAATAGCATCACATGTTTTTTTCAATGTAGCACTTTTGGTCATTATTCAAGTAAATGTTCGCCATCACTAGACATTATGGACATTATTAAATGCTATTTAAGGAATAAAACAATTTAAGTGTTATTTAGAAAAATGACTTAAGTTTTAGTGCTATTTAGTACAATTATTTCAAATTCTTTTTAATCATACATTGGTGATAAGAAAAGGAACATGCATGATACTTGCAGAGCACTTATTTTTAACATAATTACCTTTCAGCGCAATTGTCAGGAGTCGAGTTTGGATATTACCTCTGGGACACCTTTTTTTTGCCAACTGTGCAACGCCCACCAGCTAGATAATTATCATATATCTGCCACATTACGCAAAACGAATGAAAATTTCAATTTTTTTTAAAAAAATTATTTTATTTAAAGATTGATATAGAAATAAAAATAAATTTACATATTTAAAAAATACAGTAGAACTTTAAAGCAAAGCACATCAAGAATATTTTATTTTATCAAATTATCCATGAAAATAAATAAACAAAAATTATCATATTTTTAAGGAAAAATTACCCAAAATAATCCCAACTTTACCCGGTCTTTCAAAAATAATCCCACCTTTCATTGTAATGCATAATAATCCCAACTTTATTGAAATTTGCCAGTTTTGGGTCGCCGTTAAGTTTCTAACGGGAGAGTTAACGGAAATGCCCGTTTTAGGCAACAAAATGAAAGTTGGGATTATTTTTGATGAATTTTTGTTTTTTAATTTTTTTTTGAAATTTTTATTTAAATTTTTTTGAATTACTTTCAACCTCCATTTCTTTTTCTTTTTTAAAGATTATTCTTACCTTGAAAAAATAGATATAAACATAATGAAAATGAGAAAAATAACTAAAACTATACAAAATTAATCAAATAAATAATGTAATCAATATAAATTAAACAGAAACTGGTAAGAAATAAAATAAATATATACGGAGTGGTGGGTTTTAACATTTTACACGCTATACGGAGTATTAATGTCGTAATACTTATTTTTTAAAAGAACAAGCCGTCCGGTAAAGTTGGAATTATCGTAGATAATTTTTTCTAAAAAATAAAAAGTGATATGTTAATACTTTGTATAATGCGTAAAATATTAAAACCCACCCATATATTTTTATTTTACTTTTACCAATTTTAAGTTAGTTTCCATTGATTACCTTATTTATTTTATTATTTTTGTATCATTTTAGTTACATTTCTCATTTTTTCATTTTTATATCTATTATTTTTATTTTTTAAACTAAGATTAATCTTTAAAAAAGGAAAAAGAAATGATAATGGAGGTAGAAAGTAGTTTAAAAAATTTAAATGAAAAATTTAAAAAAAAATGAAAATTCATCAAAAATAATCCTAACTTTCATTTTGTTGCCTAAAACGGGCATTTCCGTTAACCCTCCGTTAGAAACTTAACGGCGACCCAAAACTGGCAAATTTAAGTAAAGTTGGGATTATTATGCATCACAGTGAAAAGTGAGATTATTTTTGAAAGACCGGGTAAAGTTAGAATTATTTTAGGTAATTTTTCCTATTTTTAAATAGTAAATTATGACGTTCTATTTGAGATGGAGAGCATATTATTATAGGTTTGTTGAAGGCTTAAAGCCTTCACATAGTTAAAGTTGTCTTATTGTGATCATGCGTGTGAGTCCTTACTCCATAGGTGACGGCTTCTAGTGGCTTTCATTCTTATCCAATAAGGCTGCTCCCAAATTAAATTTTACTCCGGGCAATTTTTTTTGTGTATGATTGGTCTAATGTAACACTTTTTTTTTTAATTTCTTTATTTTTTTCAAAGAAACGAGAAAAAAATTATTAGACGGGAAGAGTATATTCATCAATGGGATATGTCACGCACAATTACTTTATCTTCTCCAATAAAATTTTAATCACCACTTTTTATTTCAAAATAAAATTTAAAATATGTGAAATCAAATGCAAAAGTATATTTTGGGACAGAGTAATATATTGTACCCCGCCAAAGACCTCATAGTTTAATGTCACCGCTATGACTGTCCTAAATTAAAGGTCTTGTGTTCAAATCTCAGTACAAACAATAACTCTCAGAGTTTCAATTGATTGAAAATGTACAAATAAATGTGACCTTGCAATAAAGTTATTAGTGTTTCAAAAAAAATATCATATCCCAATTTTTCCATTCCTTTTATTCTTCTTTTTACTTTCTCCCTCCAATTAAAATTTTCTTATTTTTCTTTTTCGCCCATTTAAAAAAAGGTTCTTTCTTTTTAAAGTAAAAAGTTGTGGCTAAGAATATTTCTCAAATCTCTTGCCCATTTGTAATCATACATTTTTTTAAACATTTTTTAACTTCGTGAAAATCAAAGCATTAGTTATGAGATGGAAGGTGGTGCATTATTAATGATCATAATTCATAAATATATGCACAAGATACGGAGAACCGAATATTATCCCTGTCTCTTCACACTTTGTTATTTAGGTCGTTCTAAAATTTTATTCTCTTTTACTTAAAAAAAAAGTTACTACGTCTATCCTAAAATGTTCTTCCCGTTTCTATTTACGAGATTTGACCGACTTTATTTTCCATTCAATTTATTTAATTGTAGGTGTAAAATTTAAAAATAAAATTTACATATTTAAAAATTATATAAAAAATTCTACAAAATAAAAGCTGACAAAACTATATTATTTTATCAAATAACCAACGAAAATAGATAATAAAAATGATTAAAATTTGACCATGTGAATAGTAACTGGAAAGAACGTTTTAGGACGCGGAGAGTATATGATCTTTGTCATTGATTTTTCCCCTATACAAGCCACCTTTTAAGTACTTGTAAAAAGGGTTGTGGTCTATATAATTCCTCTACAACCACAACCACATACATTCTATTTTATTGAATGTCATGCTAAATCAAACAAAAAAAAAGTATAGGATTGAAGGAGCATTATATATATAGGGACTATCGTTTTCTTATCACACAAGAAATTGTAATTTTAGACTTTAGAGACAGGTAGATAAAACCGGTGGGGGCAAATTAAAGGCCAACCGGGTTGACTTGGTCGGGTGGTAGAGGTTGAAGCTTCAAGTTCCTAAGTTCAATTCCCATTTGACAC